CCCAGGCCCGCCCGCCCCCGAGCTCGTTCTTCCGCTCCATTACAACTTCACACCGCTACGCTCGGCTCCTTGACAGGCCGTTTGTGTTGAAAAATGCCAGCGGACGATTTTTTTTTCACCCTGGAATGAGAGAAAGGGAGAGCGATGGTCCTCGTGGTCCGCGCCGAAGGGCCGGGGCCGAGCCCCTCGGCCGAGCCCCTCGCCAAGGCCTGCTCTCTCGAGGATGGTTCCACGTATGAGACCATGAAGATTTCCTGTTGACGCTTTGTCAAACACTTCTATAAAACGAGAAGAGCACGGTAAAAGATGTCCCTTGTTGCCCAAGAACCCATGAAAGAATCCAAGGAACAGTTTCCACCGTGGGCATGAAACTAAATTAGTCCTCCACCCACCTAAGCAGCCTCCATTATTCCTGCTCTCTCAGAAGCCTGAGCTGATCTTGGCCAAAGAGACGCTTTTGCCTCTGAGGCATGTGCTCTGCGTCGGAGCCTGATAAACGACATTTCCCATTTTCCTTCTGTCGAGCCCTCTGTAGTTTTCCGTCCCGGGCGACGTGGGCTGGACGAATATGTGTCCCCTGCTGTCAGTCCGCCTGGTTCTCTCATATTTTTAACTAAGTTCAGCTTCAAATGTGGTACTGCTCCAATATTGTTCAGTTTGCACCAAAAGTCATACACCGTCCACACACAAAAAGTTATAAGTAAACAGTGTGAAGTAATTGCCCTACATCATGAAAGCGTGTAAGAACGAGCGATTTTTGTAGTTTCCGGGATCACTTTTTTCACCAGTGATTTTATCCTCAGGCTGAGTGTAATTCAAATCATTCGTCTTCAACTTATTGCGTATTGGCTCGCAACGACGTCAAGATGAAAAGAGCTCCCTCGCTTTGCAGCTACTGGAAAAACTCATGTGACATGTGTCACATTACAAGCGTGATATCCTTAGCATGTCGCATGTGTGGTGTGACCGTTTTGGACACGTTTGTGGTGTGACCTTCTCTGCTAGACGAATGTCTTCTTCTCCGTCGCGTCGCCTGTTCCGCTGTACACTGCTGTTGCCTTTCAGATGCGCATGAGCAAGCGCCTGGGCGTGATCTCCCTGGGCCAGGGACAGGGCCCGCGCGCGGAGCGGATGCTGCTGCAGGCCGTGGAAGAGGGCTCGTGGGTCTTCTTTCAGGTGAGTGTAATATCACCTGCCACCGGCTGGGCCTACTCGCCAAAGGAAACTGAAGTGGATGATTAGATTAAAGATTCCCTTTGACCGGAGTTGCCTTATTTTTAATCGGTCTTCGATGGGGCATTAAAATTGGTACCACTGTTTACTTTTTCTTTTATCTTTACTAAAAGCGAAATACCGAAAGTAGTTGCTTGTGGAGGTCAATCATTCCGCAATTCGAGTTTCTTCCTCCCAGGGAAAATAATCACACTTGTTAAATTATTGCACTCTACACTTTGGACTCAACGTTCGAACGCGAGCGTCGTTGGGTTGACTGTGTAAGTGGGCCAGGGTTCTCTGATCTGGGCTGGCCCAGCTGCTCCCCCCGTTCCTCTCCGGTGCGTAGAATCAGCGCGATAGCTCTGTCGGCTGCACGTCATGCCAAAGCCGACATCCATATATCCTTGCGCCTCCACCCCCCGCCCGGCTGCCGCGTCAAGCTGTCGCCCCACCGCCGCGCTGCCCGGGAGCCCCTGCCACCGCCGAGATAGGCCACGCGGTGGCGGCCTGCGCGGGGCGGGAGGCCCACCCGGGCCATTGCAGGCGCTCAATGGGACCGCCCCAGGCGTACTTCGCTATTAATTCAAGCGTTCCCGGATTTTCCCGTTTTCAACCGATGCCGCCCTTGAGACTAATCACAAGTGGCTCTTGATTTTCTCTGATTGTGAAAAAAAAATCTTTTTCTGTCTTTTCCTTGACTTTTCTTTTACCTTTTCCTGTGTTTTGTTTTCTTTTCGGCGGGTTGTAGACTTATTTGTTTCATTTGCGCACAGAACTGTCACCTGGCGCCCAGCTGGATGCCCCGCCTGGAGCAGCTGCTCGAGGGCGTGACGGAGGACACGGCGCACCGGGACTTTCGCATCTGGCTCACGTCGACGCCTAGCCCGGCCTTCCCCGTGGCCATCCTCCAGGCCTCGTCGAAGATGACGGTCGAGCCCCCTCGGGGAGTCAAGGTAATGATAGTGAGGAGAGGGGCCCCGCCCGGCCCCGCCTTCGCTTTGCATGTAGCGGGCACACACTTTGCCAAATTTACGCGCTAATTTCACTCTTGCTCGCCTCTTTCCGCGAACCGAACATGTTAACAAAGTTAGGCCTGCCTTTGAAAGATGCCGCTTTTCCTCAGTTTGCAATGCAATATGCACGCCGCTCCCCCTTCGCTTTTCCTCGTCTAAGTGCACCGTTTTTCCGGTCTATGCAGAGGCTGACATGTTGTCATCTCGATGTGAACCTCCTCAATTTAAAATAGGGGTAGGGCGCCCTCCCCAATAAACAGCAATATCACTGCCAGCCCATAACCACCCACAACCACTCTTCCCCTCCCTCCCGTACTCTCCTGCTTCCACTTTCCGATAATATTGTGTCTTGATGGATGGATCTAGTAAATGGAATTCATTTTGAGAGCTTATTACAAATCCTCTTTGCCGAGCAGACAGCGTATGAACCGCTCTCTCTTCCTGAGATCCGCACACTGAGAAATTCTTTTAAGGCTTACAGGAGATTTTCCCATGCTGTGTGTTGCAAAAATTACAACTTAAAATTGAAAATAGAATATCGACTTGGAATTTATTGACAAGCCAGAATGAGGTATCGAAAATTTTGCAACATATTTCTGTAAATCGTACTTACAAAATATTGTGAAATTACAAAGACGTCTCCCACAAACAATGCAAAGCTGCTTCCGCCACGTGCGTGTTGCCTGCCCTTTTCAACAGCCCCCGCTGCGATGATGTTGATTGATTTACAGGCCAACTTGCAGCGCGCTTTCATGAGTCAACTCGGCGCATTCGAGGACTTCTTCAACTCGGAGCATTCCAAAGCTCTGCCGTTCCGCCGGCTCGCCCTGTCCCTCACGCTGTTCCACGCCATCGTCCTGGAGAGGCGAAAGTTTGGCGCCTTGGGCTTCAACATCCCGTACGAGTTCACCGAGGGAGACTTGCGCATCTGCCTGTCGCAGCTGCGCATGTTTCTGCTCGAGTACCACGACGTGCCCGTCAAGGTGGGTAAAAGTAGTGGTGGCCGCGCTGGGTTTTTGGCCATATTAATATTGTGGTGACTGATTTATAATTCACACGCGGACCCGCACGTTTCCCGGTACACAAATCTCTCGCCCGCTGCTGCGCTCGGGTTGGACTGGCTTTGCCTGGCATCCTCTTCATACTCACGCTTCTAATCCCCCGTCTGTTGATGACTCTTCCTCTAAAAACAACTCTACCTCCCGGAGGAGAGGAGCAGCGTCGCGGAAATTTGTCTCGCCTCGCCCCCCCCCCTCTTTCTCCCCCGGATTCCATGCGTCAATGTTTTCCGCGAATCGGAATATCGCTCAGCAGACAATAACACTTGCGGGGGTTTCTTCGGCAGCGGACGAAGCAAGAAGCAACTTGTTCCCACCGGCGTCACCGGCGAAAACACATAAACGCGATTCCGAGAAGGGGACAAAAAAAACAACAGTTGAGCGTCTCTAGCTTTTGTGCGACACGGGGGCCTCAGAAGTCTCCGCCGCCTTGACGCCGTTCTGTGTACACGCGCGCCCCTTTGGCGACCGCGCGCCGCCGGGCGACCAACTGCAAATGGCATATGCCAAGCGCGTAAACAGCAGCCTAGCGGGGGGAGAAAAAAAAGCGCTCAGCCGACAAATAAACACCCACCACAGAGACGCGTGCTGACGCGGTGGCAAGCGGGTGGGAACCGAATGGGCCGTCACGGCTGTGGGAGGTCCCGCCCGCCCGGCCCTCGGGGCTCCCCGGCTGCTGTGATAGCATCGGCCACCGGCCCCGCGAGGCGTGACTGGCGTGACGAGCAAACGTGACGGGCGGCGCCTCGTGGGAATTATTCGTGACGAGCGCGCGCGGGGCGCGTTTGTTTTGCGGCGGCAGCCGGTAGCAACTCCCTACGCCGGGCTGACGCACTGTGTCGCGGCCACGCCGCTGGGCCTGTCCGGGTCGCCGGCGGCCCGTGTTGCAGCCATCTTTTCTATCTGTCGATGGATCCAATTTTCAATGCACGGACAAGGCCGGGCCTGGTCCCCGGCCCGGAGCACCATATTTCGTAGAAATTTGTCTCTCGCGAAATACTGTACGTACAGCCTTCAAACATGCCGTAAAACGTCTATGAAACAGTCGCACTTCTTATTTTTATGAACACTTTTGCCACCTGAAAGGTGTTAAGATTGATAAAATTCACAATTCGTCGTGCAACTCGAACTTCCTTTCCGCTAGATTTTTCTTACCGTGGGGCCTGTCCAAACCGCTTGACGAGCCGCTCAAACAAATGTTTAGAACCGACGTAACAAAGCGAACAAAGCGGGTGGTGCGTGTGCTTTGGGTGCTCTGTCAACTCAAATGTGTACATAGTACACATTAAAGAAAGTGTACATGGCATGTATGCTT